GAAAAGCACAATCAACGCCAATGACGCTGCTGCTAAGGCTTTCAAACAAGCCAAGAAAAACGCAGCTCGTCGACGAAGAAGGTCCATCCGACGAGCACATCTCCGAGAAAATTAATCCCAAGTCCAACGCAAGGATTGCGTTTCCGAAGATTTGCACAAGCATTGCGTTGATACTCCAGAACGCACACTTTGAGGTAATGAGTCCAATTACAAACCTCGAGTGATTCAACTTAAACGCGACCCTCAGTGGTGCGTTGTCCAATCAAAGCACAGCCCTGTGAAGGGAAAACAAGCACCTCACGAGTGCGTCCAAACAAAACAAGACCCTAAGGGGTCTGTTCCGTCAACTAAACGCAGGCCAAGGCCTAGTGTTTATAAAACAAAACGCGACCCTCGCACCTCGATTCCCGAATGTGATAGGGTCCATCAAGTTCAACAAGAACCAATTCCGCCCATCCAAGGACAGGAGGTTTCATCCCCGATGAAGAATTGTCCTCGGGTCTCTGATTTGCGAGAGTTACTCTCCAGAGAAAAACCAATGCAACGAGCAGCTCATTCATGTCATTGTGAGCGGCTTATTTCAACAGTCCTCTCCGAATGTCATTGTTGTATGCCTGAGTCTCGCAGGTCTGTATTCGACAGATTGTCTGACGTCGCAAGACCTACCAAACGACGACGTCAAAAGAAGAAAGTTTCTGAAGCTGAATACCCTCAGGTTACCATCAACATGACCAGCAGAGGAAAAGCCCCGTGTCCCAGTTCCGATGAATCAGAAAGAAGCCATTCCCGGACCGTTCGAGAAATTTGCGATGAGTTCGAAGGGGTATATCGACATACTCGGTCACGGACTGGAGCTATCCGCCCGGTTAATTACCAAAAGTTAGCCCAATGGATTACGACAAGTGATGAACATTCAGCAATAGCTGAATCTCAATCTTCAAGCTCTATCGGAGCACAGAAGGTTTCTGTTTACATGACGGGAAATCCTGAAGACATAGCCAAAAGAGTTGATGAACATCACGTCATGCTCCAGGCGCAACAGGAAACCCTTCTCCAGATGAAGGATATGTTGGCCCAACTTCTGGCTGAAAAAGGCCAAAGACCCGAGTCTTCCCGGAGGACTACGTCAAAAGGAAAGCAGAAGGTGCACGAACACTCAGATCGTGAGACTCACAACTTAGATTCTTCTTCTGACAATGAGATAGACGAACTAGAAGCCCGCCTTAACGCAATGGCCAACAGAAGCGAGCTTCGTGAGGAAGGAGTGATACGACCCTACCCTGCAGAATGGGATATGGCTCCCTACCCACCAAAGTTTAAGGCTCCGGCGCTGCAACCTTTCGACGGTACAGGATCACCAAATCAACATATCTACTACTTCAAGTCTCAAACAGGAGATGTGGTAGCCAATGATGCCATCCTGACGCGCTTGTTCATCGGCACTCTTAAAGGGGTGGCCTTTGAATGGTTTATGAAACTGCCTGCTGGATCTATCCAGCGTTTGTTCATCGGTACTCTCAAAGGAGTGGCCTTTGAATGGTTTATGAAACTGCCTGCTGGATCTATCCAGAAATGGGTGGATCTGGAAAGGCTTTTCTTGGCCAGATTCTTCGAAGATGACACGGAAGTCTCGGTCCCTACCCTTCTTGCCACAAAGCAAAAGAAGGGAGAATCTATTAAAGCCTATGTGGAAAGGTTCCGTAGCATGGCATTGCGATGCCCATCAGGTATGACCCAATCAACTCTAGTTGAAACTTGCAGGCACAACCTGCAGACTCAGCTCCTCGCTCAGATGGGAGTAGCAGAATGTCGCTCCTGGAGACAACTAGTTTCGCAAGGAGAACAAGCTGAAGAGATTGTCGCTCGGGTCAAAGCTGAAGAAGAGCCACAACCCAAACCGCAGCAAC